TCTCGGCCGCCGATGTGGGGTGAGGAGGTTCGTAGGGGAAGCCACGCTTCCGAGGGGAGAGCGCGCGCCCCGGGGAGCCTTTAGATGTTTGTTTTCTTTTTCTTTTGACCTCGCGGCGCCACTCCGGCGTTTCGTCACGACAATTTGGCGGCGCGCCCATTTTTAGCGCTGGTTCTGTGACAACGGATGATTGGCGAAGCATTGGAGCAAGTTTTCGGCCAGAGAAGGCGTTTTGTTTGCATTTCTAGATTTGCGTGGAATGTAAACAATACCAACGAACGATGTTGACTGAATACGAGACGGAGCCGGAGCTGGACTAAGAGTAGCCAAAGTGGCGCAGCCATTTGGCTTCCACACCTAATTTTTAGCCAAACCGAACATAAGTGGTAGTATGAGTGGCGCTTTGCTGTTCTGAGAGAACCCACCGAGGATCAGTGCGTAAATTTATATTTGATTTAATGCGCATTTGTATAGCCAGTGTGAACTACGTGGATTTCTTGCCAGATACACAATGATTTATAATGTTCCAAGCAACCAGGCAGCAAAATCATTAAAGGTTAGAGCGGTTTTTTTTTTCAAAAATCAACAAGCCACTTTCGGTTAGTAAAGTTAGTAATAGTCCATCTTCGAGTTGTGAAAAAAGTTTGGAGATAAAGAGAACAGCTGCATCCTTGCTGCGAGTTTCCATTTTTATTGCCTTCACACGACAAAACGTGTCCACAATGGAAACACGATTGCGCGTAGCATTAACATAGTTGGAGTGCAGCGTGTGTGTCCTCTTGGCCACGCATTTGCCAGCGTTTGCAGCTTCGCGACTCCACTTTGCAGGTGTGCCAGATACTGCTGCGTTTGGGAGCTTTGATGGGAATCACCCTACTAGTGGTTCTGTAAACACACGCTCGCAGTGAAACGCAACGACCGTAAAGCTTAGAAACAGTTTTTTTCTCTAAACAGTAAAGATAACGGCTACAAAATGTGACAGATCCAGAACTCAAAAGTAGCCCTAAACTAGTCATGCAAAAAACGGGAAATGTTTGCTGCCAGACGAGGTCAGATGGGAGCCAATGTGATTCTATGTGCACAATAACAACTTGGCAACTATGCCATAAAAGGACACTTTCCCTTAATGTTAGTAGCATTATTACTGGGGAAGCGCATGACATTACTAGATTCATCCCTCACTTCAGAGGGATGCATCCCTCACATCAGATGCAGGATTTGTTTAGAGTTCCTGGAGGGGTTTACGGCTTTTGCTGTTTTTTTTTTCACAGTTACCCATTCTATCGAACCTAAATGTGCAGTTGTCACACGGGTCTCGTTAATTAGGGAGGCGATCACCGGGCTAATTCCAAGAGCCGAAGTATCAGCCCCCCGAACCGCACCACGAAAGCGTGGACAATTTAGATGTGGTACTTATTGGCGCGCCAGCAGACGCCGGCTATGGCCCAAAGAACAAGTCAGAGCCGAGAGTTGATAAACAAACAAAATTATATTCTCAATAATGGCAGATCGAAAACAATACATGAGTATGCACACTCCACAATAGTTGAGTACAATATGTCACCAATCAACCAACGTACTACACAGTACAATCAGCCACACTCAAAACAACGGACGCAGACAACAATACACACTACAATGCAGTCGCATGCATTGAACAACCAAGACACTTAAAGACGAAAGAGATAGAAAACCTATTCAGTCCAAAGTTCTTGGAACAAAAGTCTGGAGGATACTCTTCCGACAATCACTCACTCAAAGTCCAGCGTTGTTGTCGTTCCGCTGCCCCAGCAGTTTCTGTTCCAGGAAACCTCGCCGAAGTTTCCCTTCCAGGAAACCTCGCGTCTTCAGTTGGCCTCTCTCCAAGCTTCCAACTTCTTCGCCGGAAACACGTCGGCTTCACACACGCAGCTGTTGCCACGCGTCTTCGCTCGATAGCGGTAGACACACGCTCTTGCCTGTAGCTCGAGCCTTCACCCTTCAGGTGGAAATCCTCTTCTTCTCCCGCTTTGTCCCTACGGACAAAACCTTCGCCGACTACACGGCGGAATCCCTACGCGGCCTGGCGCTAACTTCCGTCTTCTCCTCCGAAGTTTCTCTTCCAGGAAACCTCACGTCTTCTCCTGCTTTGTCCCTACGGACAAAACCTTCGCCGACTACACGGCGGGATACCCTACGCACTCTGGCGCTAACTACCGTCTTTTCCTGATCTCTCATCTCCGCTGCTCGGTTAAATACCTTCCGCGCGACATTCCAGAAAGTTCTCGTCATTTCGTCGGCGCGATACGCAGCGAAGGCTGGGGAGAGGCGCGAGAGTGTACGAGGGCCGTCCCCGACAGATGACTCAACCCGGCAAAACACGCCCCTTTCCTTCTAGAAATTTCCAGTGCTTGCCCGGCCGCCATTGTGGGGTGAGGAGGTTCGTCGGCGAAGCCACGCTTCCGAGAGGAGAGGCTCGCGCGCCCGGGGAGCCTTTAGATGTTTGTTTTCTTTCTCTTTCCTTTTCGTTGACCTCGCGGCGTCACTCCGGCGGTTGGTCGCGAGAATTTGGCGGCCCGCCCTTTTTGAGCGCTCATTCTGTGACAGCAGTAAAAAATAAACTGAGAAGTGCAGGAATGTAGTAATAATATTTGTTTGGAAATATTCCATGGGCAAATTCGGTTGACTGATAAATATTAGCATGTAGGGCTGATGCGTTTAATCATTTTTGTTTGATTTTTCCTATTTTTTCGTAAACCAGCGGCCGACACCAGTTACGTTCACAAGTGGTTCGGTGGTACAGAAATGTGATAATATTTTTTGAACTCCGAAATCTGGCAGATCGCTAGCCTTGTGGCAACGGCTTCATGCGAAGCAGTGTGGGAATTCTATGCTTCATTTTTTTTTGGGGGGGGGGGGGCTTTGAGCCATGCCTTACGACATGGCTCGATGCTTTCAAGTTGTGCGCACAACTTCGGTTATCCAGGGAAGTCGACTACACTGGCGTTTAAGGTGAAACTTATGCCCTGATGTAACGTCAGTACTCATGTTAGACCAAAGATAGTGCAGTGAAAATACTCGAATTTGATACGTTACTTTCATTAACATACTTCACTGGGGTTGAGAAAGTCTTTTAGATATTGATTGATTTGTGGAGATTAACGTCCGAAAACCACGATATGATTAGAGTCTTGAAGATAGCTTGCTGAATTGTGTAAATACAGATCACCTCTGTAAAAGTCGAGCCTTAACAGGAACCACAATTGGGATTAACTGACGTCACGTCTGTATCATTGACGTGCATGTGTAGTGTTTATTGCTATGACAAAAGTTTCGATAGTCACAATTGTAACGGCAAGTCACGGTGCACTCACTGGTATTTTCGAGCCCACTAGTATACACGAGATACTTTCCCAAAGCATTCATTTTGAAAGGGCAGCGCAAAGACGCGGGGAAAGAAATACAGTAGAGTAAAAGAGAGCTGACCAGTTCTCAAACATTTTCACCTGTCGCCAATATTCTGATTTCATAATCTTGCAACGCTTGCAGTGGCCCCAAGAAGAATGAAAAACACCGCATAGATATTGCACTTCTTCGGGAACCTGCATCCCTTTGATGCAAAGTAGTTTGCATCAAGTGGCCGACAGTTATTTTTAACAGTAATCGAAAAGTCTAAACGAACTTCGTGTGTTATTGCACCTTTAGTTAAACGCTGCGCTCAAATACGCAACTGGAAGTAGCATTACAACGGTAATGGCAAAGATCGAATGTAAGTGCACTGTACTTTTATTCCTCAGTCGTGCTAGAATAACAAACGGAACTAAGGTGTGTGCACTTTTTCCATGACCTCCACTGCTGGGCTGCACATACTGTATGTAGAACCAATAGATAGCTAAAGCTTTGGTCAATGTCTCATTAACGCCCAATACTGACGTATGAATCGCTATGTGAACAAAATGCAAACAAATGCACAGCATATGATGACACATACAGGTTTCATTAAAGAAAAGGAAAACTATCCAGTGTAACACCATAAAACCACGGCGATACGAATCTGTTGTGTCACGAAAAATATTCGTATCATATTACGTTGTGTCACCAGAAAGCATGAAAAACTAGTATGCAATAAAATAAAGGTGGCGTACATTTTCATTCATTTTTTTCTCCGGAACACAGAAATACCACAAATAGCTCTATAAGACTGCCGATAAAGTTTTTGACGTCGAAAATCATACGAGCACTCGTAAATAAACATGAAAAAATTCTTGAGGTTTACAGTGATGAAACCTTCATGTTATTGTGAGAGGCTTCGTAGTGGAGGGCTCCAGAAAATTTTGTCTACCTGGGGTTTTTACTGTGCACCTAAATTCAAGCAAACGATCAAGCATTGTTGCCTTGATCACAAATGCGCTGGCTGGGATTCCATCTCGCGACCTGCGGGTCAGCATCTGAGTACCTTAGCCACTTGACAACCAAGGCGGGTTACTTGTACATATGGACACGTGTAATAATTGCACAATATATATTGTTATCCGTGACTGGTAGTAGCCCCTTCAAAATTGTCGGAATCTTTTCCGCATAAGACAAAAATAGTGTGGCAAAACAACTTGAAGAATTGCTGTGCGCGCGTCAGATCAAAGCCAGGACATTTTGGAAGCACTGTCCTTAGATTTTATAATTTTCTTATCGTAGTGGTGTCGAGGATAATTTTTCGGGGTTTTATGGTCACGTAATGCATATACCCAAGGCTTCTTCAAAATGTGAGTGTCTCCAACACATATTGGGGAGTTCGCAAGTGTGCACCTCCATCTACAATCGGCACGTTGACGTTGCAAGGCCTACGTTCTTCGCCGAGACCATCCGCTTCCTCTTTGGTTTTCGGGCACCATTAATAAATATTTCATTGCTAAAATATGGCTTTTATTGATGTGGTATTCGTGTGTGAGAATGGTACAACGACGATACCTCATGCATAGGAACACGGGGCCACTGAAAGGAAAAAAAGTAAGGAAAAAAAACACAACAATGAAATTCGCAATTTATCGCGAAATCACGCGAATGTGCGTTAAAGCCTCCAAGAATCGCGCACACCATCTCGGGAGCTACGACCAACTCTACGACGTGTCATTGACATGACGCACTGCCGACCCGGAGAACATGCTCTCGCATGGGTTCCCCGCCCGACGGCCGTACCACTCCGCCACAGTACAGGTAGTGCCTCTTCGTACCTGCGTGGTAGCGTAGAGAGAGAGAGAGAGAGAGAGAGAGAGAGAGAATAAAAAATGTTCGTATCAAGCATCGCGGGGTGAAAATGCCTCGGTACTGCACCGGAAGCTAATTGGTCTAGGCGCACCACAGAAATAAAACCTTATGACCCCAAAGTTTGTTGTGCCATGATTGTATCACCAAGGTTTCAGTGTAGTATTATTACCACCAACACATTATTGCAGAAAGGAGCTGGCTGATAGAAGTACACAAACCTCATTCCACGAGCGAGAGACAGACAGAGAAAGGGAGAAGAGAAAGAGAGTAAGAAGATTAACCGGATGGTAGCATTTGGTATGCTATCCTGCAATGGGGCGAGGGTATTGGTCAAGTTTGCTTTGTAATAAGGGTAGGAAGATGGCCCGTATCCTCAAAGCGTAGTGACCATGCAGAAGTGTATACATCATCTACTTCCTTTAAAAGTATGATAATTGTACTTATTTTGTTACTTAGTTATTCTGCTACGGCATATTATTGACTACGGTATTGGACAGCTGAGCTTCATCGAATTCACTGTTTATATTCGAGCCATGGAGCCCGAATCTAGATGAAGCCAAAAGGGTAAAGCCTTGAAGACGTGCCTTGAATTGACAGCCATGCTGGTTGCATAAACAGTGGGGTGGAAAAATATCTTTTTTTAACAAGTTACGTGCAACTCATATGACTATGCGAGTGGCATGTTGAGGGTATGGGGTTGAAGGGCTAATGGGAATAAGCATACGCGCATGCGGTGTAATATAAAAACATAGGGTTTCTACAGGGAAGGCAACCAGTTGTTATGCAGCCATAAGAATATGTGAATTTTTAATCGCACCTACTGCTCAAGCACTGAGAAGAAAACTGGAGATGGTGGTGGTAATATACAAATATAATGATAAAGTACTGTAGTAGTGCCTACAATATAAAATATTACTACCAAATTCAATATTCTTATCAAATATCATGTATTGTTATAATTGTATCACACTGCTGTATGGATTGAGACCAAGAAATACATCACGAGTAGATTTAGAAAGTACTGAAAATTCGGCATGATATAGCTTATCAGAGAGATAAACGTTCACGGTTTCGCACACACTAAGAGGTCGGAGCAGTTGTCGACTTACAGCGCGAAATGTCTTAGCGTTGTCTCAGAGAAACATTACCTGATGACCTAGTTGAGTTTTGGAGTCCTGTTTGATAGCGGATAGTCTTGTTCTTGTGTTTACTAAGGCCGACGTAGAAACATTTCTACCTAATCACTGATTTTGTTGTGATGCAGGGTGACTGGCGAAGACATAGTTCTGTGAAGCTAAAGACGCGCGCTCCCACCAGGATTGGTCACGCCACCTATCTTCCCAGTGGCGAAGACGTGAGACGCCACCGAGGATTAGAGACCCGCAGTACTGTAAAGGCGGTGGCGTCAAGTTCCGTACGGAAGCTGGTGAGTTGCTGCTGTAATTAGGTCAGCAGGTAGTCTTGATATCAGTCTCGGAAGATCAGTGTATCACCGGAATTTCGATTGTTGAGCCCATGTAAAGTGCTTGGTTGCTCAGATAATGGCGCCCACATGTGACAGGCACCTAGGATCAAATTGGGGGACCTCGCCGTGGACGCGCATCGAAAGCAGATGGGGCACTCACGGACCATGCTAAATTTCTCAGTAAAAAAAATAGATGGCACGGCTGTCCCACACTTGAGAAACTGAAAATGGTGTCCGTGCGTAGCCACCGTTTGCATTCATGAATCTGGTAAATGCTATGAGCGTTCATTAAAGGGTTTGCTACGCTTGAACAAGTCGTGAAGCTTCAGTTATCTAAGGAGGCGGCATCGGCGAAGCGTCACACTGAAGTCGCAGTTAGGAACAGGCTACGGAACGCGAAGATACAGGAAAAAAGCCATTTCACGTCGGTCGGGCTTTTCGCGCACCATTTGCCAAATAAGTGGCGCGAGGCCTGACGGGGTTAAAACGATGTCAACGCTGGCCACATCAGTCACGTTGGTCAATCAGCCGAACTTTGGTATGATGTGCCGAGCTTTCAGGACTTCAAATTTACTGGCGGTGCGGGATGATGTCACTTACTAGACTCCAGACTGTGTGTTGCAACCTGGGATTTGTATACGTCCTTCATGATTCCTTTTAGAAGGTGACCAACTTTGTCCTCTTTTGTGCTCTGAGGATCCAGGACCTTCCACAACTTCCTCCCTTCTTCAATGTACGTGGTGAAGGTTTTTCCAAGGAACATGAGCTCGCTGTGTCAGCATTTTCTCGTCATGAATCTTTTTGGCCGCTGGATCTCCGAAGCGTTTCGCGATTTCGTCTACAAAGTTTACTGCTTCGTGAAGCTCTCTTAGCGGTTTCGATACCACAAAGACGTGGTACCCTAGCAGAAGAGGCCGACAATTTTAAGCTGACTGGTGACACTCACGCTGTTGAACCGACTTGGCCATAGGTAGAATATTTCCATGTGTTCACATCTTCACCGGCTTTTACCGCGAAAGTTCATGGCTTGAACCATGCCTGCAGGATGGGAGACAGGGCGCAAGTGTTTCATTGTCGTTGTTAGTTTTGAAAGGGATTACTGACGACAGGCGAATGATTCGTCGACTTGGGTGAGACTCCGCGTGTTGCGCCAGTTCGTCGGGGTTCGCCGGTGGCACCGTTATTGTACCCAAAACCTCGACCAAAACGTTGCAAATAAGTGTGTGTGTTGAAAGATGGGCATATACAAAAGGGGCGAATGGCTGCCACGCCGACACCGATACCCTCGCAAGACGAACACCCTTCTTATTTATTTGTAGTCCTATTTGTCGGTTTACCATATGAATATTGCTTTGATAATCGATGTCAAAAAATGAGGGCTCACCCATAGTTATCTGACTTACTCGGCATACACGCCCCTGAAGTCAATGCAAGAGAATCTACGCTAAACCCTGACATGACAGATGGTGTCATTTGTTGCTGCAGCGATAACAAGAAAGCCTAGAAAACGTATTTTCAAAGAGGTACAAACAACTCCCACTATGTGTAGAGCCGGCACCGGTGCTTCGCATGCAGCAACGGCGTAACGAAGCGCCATTTGCATTTCACGGTGGCCCAAAATACCGCGCTTGTAATGCGGAATTTGTCAGCCGGATAGGCGAAAGCTTCGTGGCGTTCGTAAAAAAAATGCTCTCGGTTCTGATCCCTCCACTTAGCGCCATCGCGGATGCTGAGCGCTGCTCCGTCTGATCATTAGCGCTTAGCGTGCTGCGCATAATACTTCCGAGGTTGAACGACGCACGTTAGCGCTCGCGTACACACTGTGCGCGTCTGTTTGCGGTAAATGCGTGTACGCGTTGTGATCACCGCGGCAATCATCGTTGTAGACGACCTCGCATTTGTTTTCTCGAGGAGGTGTTTACGTCGTAGTAACGCGCGTACGCAGGCGTGATGATGCTTTGAAGGGATGAGATGTTATGGTTTTTTTTTTTTGCGTCTCGACGTGTCAGTAAATTGAGCCGCTGGCGGTGCTGGCCAAATTACCTACCTCGTAGGAACGTTGTCGTTGCTGCAGGTATTAGCCGGAATGTTGGCGACTGGTTTCTTTGTTTTTTTTTTACTCGTGGCAGTCATTATTATTACCATGAGGAGGAACTTCGTATTATATACTGTTCATCAGTTTTCTGTAAGGAAAAGTGATCACGAAGATGCAAAATCTAGGGATTTGAAGCACAACAGACGCGTAAACAGTCGCGCATTTCTATGGTATATCAATCGGTAGGGTAGTTTTTGATAGACTGAAATACTACTACTACACTCTACTACTACTACTATACTACTAATAATAATAATAATAATAATAAATAATAATAATAATAATAATAATAATAATAATAATAGTAATAATAATAATAATAATAATAATAATAATAATAATAATAATAATAATAATAATAATAATAATATAATAATAATAATATAATATTATAATAATGATGCAAATTAATATTAATAGGTTCCGGTAATGCATTGAGTGGTATTGCCCTAGAATTTCTTTACGTTACTCGGTAGCTCACATGGTAGCGCCACAGTGTCGCGTTGCTGCTGTTACTGTGCTCGTTGTCACAATTGGAAAAACGTTTTTGGGTTTGTAGTTGCCATTCTGATCAACTTGGAAGAGCTCGTTAAGCTTCATGCTGCAGATAAGGACTACCTCAGTTTGTCGATTTCGTGGCTTGCAGCTAGAAAAATGATTCCGGACTCTTGGACATAGTGTTCGTATTATATGATTCACCAGTAGTTCTACACCAGATTAATTCTTCAAGATTTAAAATTTGAATAGAAGCCCTAGTGCAAGCCCAACTCAGTTTTTAGGAGTCCTAATAATATATTTTTTTTTACCTGAAGACTGTTTCAGCTACGCGCGAAGAGCAGCACATCTAGGCACAAGCACTCCAATTCTAGTTATTGACCCACGCTTTGTTGAGACTACAGCATAACGATGAGGACTCGTTCATGGCGACCACGCGAACTGTGTATAGGACAGCATCTGGCACTTCCTGTATTTCTCTGTCGTAGCAATAACGGCAAACTACCGCGGCGTTATCTGGGGCTACCACTGGCACGAGCACAGCTCGCAAAGAGCACATCGGGTGTGTACATACAGCAAGAACGGCAGTAGGAACGAAGACATACTAATGGCGTCGGTTTACTGCGGACCTCGGTTTGTATATATGTGTAGCATCATCGAGGTATGAGTGCCTCCCCTATTCTTCTTTTTGTCGCATAAACAAAACGAGTGTCGAGCGGGCATTTCTGGGTATATGTATGCAAAACAACGCTGCAGTGCAATCGTAGAGGTTGAACAAGGTATAGATAACTCTTGCTAGTACTGAAGCGGGGACACCACAGTATTAATGCACGGGCAATCGCTGCGAAGCAAATGACATCCTCGCAGCATATCTTTTCATGACTGCCGCGCGTGCACATAGACACCGAATGGGAACGGTAAGTGAGCGATGAAACGGCGCGAGAATGCATTTACACGCGATGGGAATGCGCGCGCCGAAAGCACGTGCGACTGGAAGAGTTGGAGTGTAAAAAGACGTAGAAGAAAAATAAACAGACCAGGAGGTGAAAATAACAAAGGAATGAAAAGAGAACAAGTTGAACGAGAGGCTCACATTTCCTTGCCCCGCAGGACCTTGTCTGTGCGTGCTTATCTCTCGCTTTTCTTAAGAAGCGTACCTACAACACCCCCTGCACATGATCGACATTCCTTCTTTCTTGAATGCGCTTGACCCAGGAGGAAGGCTCATTTCTTCGTGATTACTTCTTCTCTCCTGGTGGCCGGTGCAATGGGACGGAGGAAAAGACTGAGTGTACTTCGTGTCAACTTCCTTTTCTTTTTTGTTCTTGTTTTTTTAGGCTTCACATCCCATGCTACGTTTTATTTCACTTTTTTTTGCCACGGGGAAACCGGGAAGATGGCTGCATGTGAACGAGGACCGCTACCGTCACAGGCAGTAGCTGCAATGGTACTGCTAGAGTAGTAGCAACGAAGGAACTGTCGTCATTACCGCTGGTCGTGGCGAAAGATAAAGTGGCACGCCATTCTGGGCATTGATAATTTTCATGGCGCACACCGCAGCCCGTCTGTTATGCATCTATACGTGGAAGTTCCTCGCAACCCAACCTCGCTGGCTTGAGAATCGATGGCACAATTCTTGAGCGGGAAAGATAAGTCCAGCATAAAAAACAAAGAAAAAAACGTAAATAGATAATAAAGACGTGCGAAACGAAAGGCAAAAAACAAAGGGGCTTGGGGGAGCTGAATGGCCCGCCCGATGCATGTAGTTGCCAGGGCAGCTTGTGAACGTGCGTTTCACTATTATCGTTGTCCGAAATCGACGCCTCGAATTGTGGATACGTAGAGAAACGTGAGTGGGCGGCGCTATGCGCAGCCTGTTGTATTTCTTTCTTGCTTGAGCGCTTGTAATCCGTCGAGTCGGTGGCTGTACTGACTGATTTCGCAGCACCCAATTTATTTTTAACCATTTATTGTGCCTGCTGATAACCTCCTGTCACTGCACGTAATTCGGTCATTCCAATAAGGAAAAACTGCACGCCCTGTTTGCGGCCTTTATTGAAGGTTCTCACACTTGTAGTCCAGATAAATTGGAATTCATTTGGCAAAGTAAAAAAAAGAAGCTTACAATGAGGTAGAAACACAAGCCGAAGACACGAAATAAATGGTCAGCCTAAATATTACCACTTATCTGAGTTGAAAGTGCAGCGATTTGCTGACCTGCGTGTTAAAAACAGAAAAGAGGAACGCAGAGTGCTGTGGTGTCGTCACGTCACGAACGTAAAGCGCCAACTAATGAGTGCATTAGGACTAAATATTAGCCTGCCACAACCCGACCCAACGCTTTTGGCTCGTCGTCTAGACTACGCCCTGTTATCCAAGGACAGAACTTGACCTTTTTCAGCACTAGCTCAAACAGCTTTTCTTCTGTACAGCTTGTATGCCTTTCAAGTACACATGCTGAGTGTTTTCCTGCTTAATAATTAGGTATAATTAGCCCCGGAATGTAAACACTAGTCTGAGACCGCCACAATTAGGTACCATCATGTTTTTTTGGTTAACGATATTTGCGTTTGTTATGAAGCCGAATCAGTCAACCTTCATTTTCTTTGAATGAGCAGGAGGTAGGACTAAAAGCCGCAAGTAAAACTTGACCTTTGCTTTTGGCGTGGCCGAATCCGTAGGCAAAAATACATTGCGCACAAAATACCATTATCACGCAGAAAAACTTACATTCGCCGAAGTGAAAGATATGTCGACGTTCTTCTTCGGGAACATCGACGCTCATTGTTGAGACAAAACCGTTCTCTCTCACAGCTCATTGTCACGAATGTGGCAGCGCCCCCTTCCTATACAATAAAATGATACCGTCGCATCATAAAAATCGAAGCAGCAAGGGAAGTAGTTGAAGCGTTCCACATTACAAGTAAAGACGATAAGTGTGTCAGTATGCGGTCACTGTCTCTGAGTGACGCAGAATTTATCTATACTTGCAGCACCTGCATACTATGATACTCGTGTCTATCTGCATTTCCTCGCATATTTGTACTTTTTTGCTGTTAAGTGTTTATAATTGTCTGTTTGTTATTTTATAGAACATCGCTTGTTTTTCTTCGTAAATTTTAGTTGCGAAGTCTGCACCTGTCCTGTGTTTCTTATCCTTCGTCACTGTCTCGTGTGCATTGTATCAACCAAAAGGTTATCATTCATTGCGTCAACGCTGAGCTCGGTTCTCTCAGTTATAGCGGCGTGTACACTCTGAAGCGAAAGTATGAATTTGTGCATTTTTCTTCTCTGCGCTAGTACTAATTGGATTCTTGCGTATCATCCTCTATTATTTCTTCTTCAGGCCTAGGCAAATTCGAGACTTTACTATTCTGTGGTCACTGCATCAAATCTTGCAACTACTTTCCCATCCTGAACAATGGGCTGGGATGCGCACAGTATGAAGTCTATACGATTTTTCGTTTTGCCTGTGGCACTCCTGCACGTCTACTTACACTTACCCAATTTTCGGTAGAAGGCATTCACGGTCCGGAAATTACTGCGTTTTGCGAACCCTAATACTAACTCTCTTCTGGCATTTCCAGAGCCGATGCCATATTCCCCCACTGCATGGTCTCCAAACTGCTTCTTGCCTACCCTGACATAGCCACCTATCAGTATACTGTGGCTTTACGTTCCTCATTGCTGATTTAACGTCAAAGGCGTTCAACCAAATGATCATCAGGGCTGAATGTTGGTGCGTTCGCCTGCACCACCTGCATCTTGTACATCCTAATAAGCTTAATTACGAGACTTGCCACCCTATCTATAATGCTGTGGTATTCCTCTTTGTTGCCAGCTATATTTTTGTGTCTAATGTTTCAATATTTTCAGCAAACATGTTTCGTATTCTCGTAATTTCACTAGCAGTTGAAACAACTTTGAAACACAGCTCCTCTACATGTTTGTCTAGTTCCAATTTGTTGATGTTAACTGACTTCTCACTTCCATTCGTATAGCAGTTGCTTCGCAAGTATCTGCACATTGCCCCGAAACACAGAGAAAAAAAAGTTGCAAAAGAAAAAATAGTGTGGAAGAAAAAGGATTTATTACATTATTTTCTTCTGCGTGCTTACGTGATCACAGTTGCTTTATCTCCTAAGTTCGTGAGCCCTGTTTGAAATTAGTAGTTAATCAAGGTGTGCCCTATACCAAATAGAAACAAAATCTCTCTTTGATTGCCCAGTTACATCTTCATTCTGTGCATCTTTCCAGCATTCCAAGAACAGTCACTCTTATCAGAACTAAGCAAGGTCGTATGGAACTCTATGGAGAAGCAACAATAGTTCCTTGGGATGCTTGCTGGTTTATGCGTTCATATTTGTTCAGTGGGGCACCCAATTCATTGTGCACAAATTGCTCTCAAGCTGTCCCGCCGAAATTGTAAAGAGTGTTATTTATTTATTTGTTTAGATGAAGGGAGCGGGGAGGCGGTAAAGTGCAACAAATTCATTAGGGTACAATTTTAAAGGCTGCGGATATTAGCTGCAGCAGCGCTTTCTGTCAAAAAGTCGATAGAGTTTGGAAGGCGTTCCTTCGTTGCACCACTAGAAGATGGCGCTATCAAACCATGTTCGGGAAGGCTGTACGAAGACATATCTGTTTAAAAATGATTCAAACCTTTCACCAAGCCACGTAATACTCAATTTAGAGTGAATTTCATCCGTCCTATACTTATTTGCTATACAACACCTGCTTCAACTTTTGTTTGAATTTTAGCTTTAACTTGGCTTCAGCATTGGTGTAGTGCAGTTCAAGTTTAGCTTGAACTTGGAAGCAGTGATATTGAACTTTAGCGTGAACTTGACTTAATCATGGCTGCAGCGTTGGAGTTTTCCTCTAACTGTACTTGAATTCCACGGAACCGATCGACGTTGCCGTTGCTGCTCTCGCGCAACGGCAAACTTGGCTTCTCAACTCTCACCTTCTTCATCGGGAGTGCGATTTATTTTGGAACGACCAATAACTGCGTATTTCTAGGCGCGAGCTGAAAGCTAGCCTTCACAACCACAAAGTATTACGAGACAGTGATCTAAATGTGGTGGCACGCAAGCCGTTCGTGTGCTGTTCAACGCAGGTGGCACAGCGCTCGCAGATACACAAACTATAGAGGCACATACCTGTGCATAAATATATAAATATATAAACAGTTCGCCCCGCAAATGTGTGCCTGTGGCACACATTTGTGGGGCGAACAGTTTTTTTGTTTCACATTTACAAGACCAGTTACGAGTAGAGGCAATTACGTAACTTCCACGCTGCATACCTGCATATATTAGTGGAGAAGCTAAGGGAGCTATAGGAAAGATGAGAAAACTTGGTGTGTATGATGTCACTATTTTTTCAGATAAAGTTATACACCACGCCCCAATGACCAATAGCAATATATTACGATTATTCAAAAATATTAATATACAACGGGAAAATAGACAGGTGCCGCTCGGTGACGACCACCATTTTTCAAGGAGTCTGTTTTCGTATAATCGTGACATTGCGAACACTGATTCATACTATATATAGAAATAATCTTTCTCCATAGCAAGTGAAGGCGAAAGACCTCAATCAACCTTCTCTCATGCTGTATTTTTAAAACGATGTAATTTTGAAATATAGTCAAATTGAGTACGCGATTGCTGATTTGGGAATTATGTTATTTTGTCTATATTTACAGCATGAAATGGTCGTTACGTGAGTAACACGCATATTCCCTTTTTTATTATTTTAGGTGATTGATTTTGTTGCTCAAAACAAAAAAGCAAAAGTTTTTGTCCATTAAAATTTATGATGACAAAATTCTTTCTCTCTGTGTCAAGATAATTCGAGTTGCTCTTGTAGGACTGCATGCCACAGTCTTGAAAAATATCTGGCATTAGTTTTATCAAAATGAACTTTCAAATTTTCGAATATTGTGTTGTGATAACATTGTCGCTACTGTGTGAAAAACACCTCCTAATAAAAGGAAATACAATAATACCCAGGCAAGGCTGTCAAACTGTGTCAGGCCAATTATATTTATATAAAATTACGCGTTGATACCCATACTACAAAACTATTTTTTATATTCAAGGCGTTGATCTTTTTATGACTATGATAGCATATTCAGTTTTCTTTACACATTCATTACTTTTTGCTTCGACAAAAAATTTCTAAATGCTTCACGTTTACTGTTTCTTTTTTAAAGCACAGATATTTCCTGGGGGTGATAAAGGCCTATTGTAGGCATTGTAAGTCCCTGTTATTAGTGTGAAATTTGAAAAATAAGAATAGAACTTTCATTTATATTGAGGCTTGCTTTTTCAAGCAATCTGTCGAATGAAAAATATAACTTACGCATAGTTATGTGGTATGCTTTGTGGTTAACGACATAAGAAAAGTTTGGCAAGTGTGGCTTTTGTTTTAAGCAATGAATGAATAAACAAACTTTATTAGAATCTGGCAGCTTTTTCCGGGCGAGGTGGGGGAAAAAGGGGATTAACGCCTGTCCCTTCCTACCCTCCGTGAATTAAGATGGCTTTGCCTCAGGAGACCGCTCGAAGGAAAACATTTTTCATTCTGACAATCACAAGGTCGTACTAAGCTTGCCTTCGTGTCACTTTCACTGCATAGCACTTAAGCTCAGAATCCCGTCGGGGGTTTGTTCGAAGCGAGTAATGCAAATAATAAAACTTCTAGCCACTTTTTGGTAATACTGCACTATGCACTGTCTAAAATGACCTTAGCGCTGAAGTTATGTAACGGTGTCGCAAACAAGCGCTCAGAGAAGCGCACACCGCCGAATTCTGGCGATGAGGACGATACCAGGCGCCAGACAGACGCCTCAAGATAAACCATAAAGAAAAAAATTGGCGGCAGATCCACGAGGTGAATGATGATGAGATTGCGCTACATTCCTGGAAGTGATACCGTGAAATTTTCTTCCGTTAATTCGCCTGGCGATGTGCGCGATTCCTCGCCGCTTCCCATTGTCGAACGTTTTCAAGACCTGCTTCGCGACGTTGACGTGCCGCCTCGGCCTCTCGTTCCCGTACGGAAGGATCTTGCCGATGCTGACGTGCGGCTGCAGCTTCTTCACGTACAGCGGGATCTTGCCGACGCTGCCTTGTTGATGTGGCTTCTTGTTCCCGTACAGCAGGAACTTGCCGACGCTGACGCGCCGCTGCAGCTTCCTGTTCACGTACGGCGGGATCTTGCTGACGCTGCCTTGTTGATGCGGCTTCTTGTTCCCGTACGGCGTTTCGAACGAAAATGTTTTATTGTTTAATCACGCACAGGAGAAATCTCACCAGGCACTACCTCGGAGGTAAACAATGGCTGCTACTGGGAATGAGAGACATCAGATTTCGGTTTTTAACACTTCTACTTCTACTAACGTTTCCTATTGGAACATGCCAATGGCTGCTAATGGGTAATGAGAGATAGCAGAACTCGACTTTTAGTTAACGTGCACGCTGCGAATTTTTTTTTATTGTTCAACAACGCACAGGAGAAATCTCCCACCGGCACCACCTTGGAGGTCAAAGCGTAAGACTGGTTACACACTACGACTACAACTACGACTACGAGGGACGAACGGGTGCCGCTATAAGGACTTCGCCCCTACTTGCCCTGCTACGTGCCAGACAATGAGGTCGTGACCGGCCTGAAGTCCTACGGAACCACACTAAAAATTGAGGAGGCACGCTATAAGGATCGCCCAAGTATCCGCACCGGAACAAGGTATATTAAAATGGACATGAGGCCGGAAAACCCGCTGCCAAATTTCGCT